TGCTGAATCCATGACCCAGATTGGCGCCTACCATCTGAACGTGGACATTGACAGCGCGGTATCTGCCATCGTGGGCATTTTTGAAGTTGTGACTGGCCGTCGCCCACGCTTTCGGGTTTGTTTTCGACCGCCACCTGGCGCCACCGCCATGCTTGAACACACAAATCCTTGCGGCTTCTGCACAGTTCTTGGTTGGTGAGATTGTTTTCTGATCCATGGCGTGTGTGCAGGTGCATGGTGGCTCAAATAGCGAGAATCTGGCTCTGCAAAACATCCAGGCACGCCTACGCATGGTGTTGGCTTATCTATTTGCCGCACTCACGCCGTGGGTACGCGGACTGCCGGGCTCCTTGCTCGTTTTGGGCTCGGCCAACGTCGACGAAGCGTATGTGCCGTTCTTGCCTGCTACTGTGCCACATCACGTTTCCCTGGCGGCGCGACGCCGTATGCATGCCAATGGTATCTGATCAGGCCGTGCGCTACCACGTGGGTGGGTGCTTGCGGATAGGTTGCGCGGCTACCTGACCAAATATGACTGTTCCTCAGCCGACATCAACCCGATTGGTGGCATCAGCAAGGGTGACCTGCGCATGTTCATCAACTATGCCAAGGAAAAGTTTCACCTTCCCGCGCTGGATGAGTACGCGACCCCTATTCTTCCTCAAGTCGTCGAGCTCGCACCCGATAGCTTGCTTGCGCTCACGATTGATTTTTCCCCCTTTCCCCCTTCCCCACCCTCACAGAATTTCCTCAGCACCCCCCACGGCTGAGCTCGAGCCGATCACGGAGGATTATACGCAAACGGACGAGCAGGACATGGGAATGACCTACGAAGAGCTTGGGGTCTACGGTCGGCTGCGCAAAATCGCCATGGTCGGTGCCGAGGGCCTTTCTGCTGTGCCTGTGCCACTAATCCTCTGGTTTACGTTAGCTTACTAGCTTGCGCCCGCTCACCATGACCCTGCACTGCTGTTTCGCCTAACAGTGTGGACCCGTGTCCATGTTTCGCAAGCTTGCGGATCAGTGGCACCACAAGCTACCACTTGAGGAGGTATGTCACTTTTCGCACACCTTGTGACACCAATTGCCAAGCTACGCTGGGTCAAGGGCCAGACTCGAATTTGCTGCTTGACGTTTGACCCTGACTATTCCTGCTTTGGCTGCTTGCAGATTGCGAGCAAAGTCAAATTTTTCTTCCGCATGTATTCCATCAACCGTCACAAACTGACTGTCTTGACGCCGTCTTACCATGCCGGTTTGATTGCACTCGTCGAATGCATGATGTTACACGAGGAGGAGGGCAAGCGTTGGTTTTGCTCTTGCTGAACCAGTCGAGCCTGATGCCGGACATCATGTGCGTGTCTTGCAGAGTCATACAGCCCGGATGACAACCGCTTTGACCTGCGCCCATTTCTGTACAATACCCGCTGGACTTGGCAATTTCGTCGCATGGATGAGGAGGTCAGCATTGTTGCTGTGCAGTGCAGCCAAAGATCTGCACATCTCCGTGGCTCACCACCCCATTCTCGTGCCCATGTAGCTCGTGGCCCTCGTCAATCAAAACAGCGACACTTCTGGGCCTGCAAAGTAGCGTGCTCACCACGAACTCCTGCTTCCCGCCAATCAATGTGGCGATGACACGCTTCTGAAATTGACTTTAGCGGTGCCCACTTCCCTGCACGGCGGCACACACTGCCACAACTTGCCCTGTGCTCAAAAAGACAAAACCAGAGCAGCAAAAAAAATTAAACATGTCGCGACAGCTGCAGGATTCGAACCTACGCGGGGAGACCCCATTTGATTTCGAGTCAAACGCCTTAACCACTCGGCCAAGCTGTCATGTTGGACGCCATTCCAACGAAAAATACTATATATAAATGAAATCTCTTTATTTTGGTCTTTATCGAGCACCGCGTAAAGTTGTCGAAACAGCCAAGTCCATAATTTTTTTTTATTTTTTTTTGGAGCAGCGTGATGATGGGGCTCGTGGAACGATGGTCGCCGGTGGTGGTGGTGGTGGTGGTGGTGGCTGCGTTGGCCGCGGCAACTGCCGATGCACTGGACACCACGACGACGTTGCCCACTACCGTCACCACGACGGCTCCCATGACGACAACGCCGGCCGGTCCAGACTACAGTCAGTTGACCACAATTGTTGATCAGGCCATCGCGAACCATTCCTTCCCGGGTAAGCTGCAACCGGCCCTGCATCAACACCAGCTACGCCGTGTTTCCCCGCCTGGCTGGCAAGCAACGAGTCAAGGTACAGCGTGCTCACGCTAATGATGACTGCACGCGCATGTTTTGCATGAGCTAGGTGCCGTGGTCGCTGTGGCCAATCGCTCCGGCATCTTGTATAGTGCGGCACGCGGCTCGTATACATACGGCATGCCCACGCCGATCGGCGCTGACAATCCCAACGTCACGCTTCACACGCTTTTCGATCTGGCCAGCTTGACCAAGGTTCTGGCCACAACGACTTGCGTCATGCAGCTTTTTCAAGCTGGTTATGTCCAGCTCCAGCAGCGTGTGGCCGATAGCAGCCTGCTAGGCCCGGCCTTTGCCGCTCACGGCAAGGGTAACATTACCATCGAGAACCTGCTCCTCCACAATGCAGGGTGAGCCACTTTCGCTCTGCATCCGCTGCTCTCACTTCCCACGCCTTTTCTTTCCCCCTCATGCAGTTCAAGTTGCAATTCAGTTGTATGCGCATTGCTCAACCCACCGCACATTTCCACCCCTCGTCGCACAGCTACCCCCCGGACCCGGACCCAAACTACTGGGAACCTGAATCCGGTTGTGCTGCCACCTTTGAGCGCCCTGTGCCAGAAGTTTTTGATTGCCGCCCAGCCCTCTATGACCGCTTGCTCAACCAAACCTTGGCCACCCCACCCGGCCAAACCTATGTCTACTCGGGTTTGTGCTGCTGCTGACGCACTCATCAAGCCGTGCACAATCAAGCCGAAGGACCTGACCCCAGAATTTGTCTGCGCGCATCTTGCACCTTAGATCTCAGCATGATCACAATGATGTACATCGTCGGCACCGTCGTGCGCACGCATAAGCTCGTGAATCAGAATGACCTGAACTCGGTAAGAAAAGTGTCGCAGTCGCATGCATCGCCCGGTTCCCCTCATCCACTCTTTGCTCAACGCCGATCACAGGATTGTATGCGCATGAGTGATGCCCACAACGGCACCGCTCAAAGCCAATGCTACTATGAGGCAAGTTTGGGCCCTCTGCTGTACTCACTTCTTGAGTCCTCAATTCCGAGCGTCTGTCGTGCAGCATCGGCGCCAAACCTGCCCCTAAATCAATCCAAAAATCATGCACCCGTCTTACCACACACCTGGATAGGCATACTTTCGCACGCATGTGGCAGATCGCTTGGGTCTTTCAACCACCCAGTTCCTTCCACCAAGCGAACAGTACGCGCCACCAGGGTGCTTGCCTTTCTGTAGCTTTGGCTGACCTTGCGGCGCCATGAACTTTGGTTCACCCATTGCTTTCTTGTCTCTTCGTCGCCATTGTTGTCCAGGTGGTCCAACGCCATGCCGACTTGGAACGACACAGATGCAGACAGTCCCCCGGGTGACAAAGGCTATCGTTATCGCGTCATGCAAGGCCAGGTGTGGCGAGCAATGACCTCTGGCTCAGCTCGTGTGAGTAGGAGCTGTATTCAACAATCCGCCCCGCTGCATGATGGGTAACCAATAGGTTTCCGATCAAAATGCCTATGCTCTGGGCGGCATCTCAGGCCATGCTGGCTTGTTTTCTACGGTATGCACGCCCATGTGGTCACCACAGCACTGAATTTGAGCAGCCAATATCATCTCCTTGCGCCCACACCAAGCTCAGCTTGGAGCTGACAGTTTGCGATCAACCTCAACGTGCATGTCGGCTGGATATCACCATCAATCGAATCAACCGATGCTAGGTTTCGGACATTGTGCGCCTCGTTTCCGCCATCTTGTTTGCGCCCGCTCACGATAACTGGATCAATGCTACGACCGTGACCCGCTTTACCACGGTGCGAACTCTGGACTGATTGGTTCTTTATTCTCATTTTCATCCGTTTTGAATGGCTGCTCATCCGGTACTGTCGCGCGATCTTTTAGGTTGTCAACGTCAACCAGAGCAGTCGGGCCCTTGGGTGGGACACAAACAGTTATACGGCCAACGAGTATCGTGGCTGCTCGACACTGTCCGGCCGGACCTTCACCCACACCGGTGTGTTACTTCTCTACCGCGTCTACGGCTTGTTGTACCGTGCACCGCTGTTATGGCAATGCAGATGACAACTCCACACTAGAAGTCAACTGCCATGCTTTGAGCTCACCCTAGCCTTTGCGTGCCACAGGTTACACGGGGACCGAGGTTTGCGCCGATCCTGACCGGCAGCTTCTGACCGTGTCACTGACCAACCGGGTTTACCCCCGCGCCGATGATGCATCAGAGGACCTCATTCACAAATTTCGGCAGAGCTTCAACGCCGGCGTTGCCGCCCTTTTTCCTCTACCCTGATTCATCCACCCTGATTTATGTCCCCTGGCGCAAGCCATGTTGGTAATTGAGTTGCCACATCTTGTCTTTCTTCTGCCACGTGTGTTCAGCAGCACGTCCATTCGTCCACAAAAGAAGTCGATAACAGGCCAGCATGACCCTTGTATCTTCCGATCTTCAAATCCTTCTTTTGGATGGGCAAAACATTGGCGGCTGAACATGCCCAAAAAAGTCGCATGTTTGAATCGTCTCCGGAAAAAAAAAAAAAAAAAATCGAAGGAACCCAGTGACTTCCAATTCAATTGTTGTGGCATCCTACAAGCTCACGTCGGGTAGTGTCTTGTGGCGTTTTTCCTTGACTTTCGATCTGTTGTCTTTTCATCCTTTCAAGTGGAGAGAGTTTGGGTTACAAGCTCATGATGGTGGATGAGGATGATATGGAGGCGATTGAGGATGCAAGCATTCCGGCCGACCTTGTCGCAGAGGCAGATCTCAAAAAAAAAAAAACGAACGCGGATGCAGCACAGGAAAATCAAAATCATCTGACATTAACTTAAAGTCATGTAGTTTATATGCTAATTTTCTTCTATCGCTAGTATTCCTTGACAGCTTGGCCGAGTGGTTAAGGCGTGAGACTTGAAATCTCATGGGCTCTGCCCGCGTAGGTTCGAACCCTGCAGCTGTCGCTCTGTGTAATTTTTTGTGTTTTTTTTGTGTTTTTTCCTTGTGACATGCAAGTGTTATTAGACATCTTAGATGGCAGTTGCATCTCACATCTCAATTTGGTTTCGAACGTATGAGCCCAATGACGCGAGGGCCGATGCACACAAGCGCGCGCACACATACACACACACGCACAACAATGATTGAGCGCTGGATGGGGCCAGCACCCAGTGCACGAGGCGCAAGCAGCAAGCACAACACCAAGACACGTGAAAACGTGATTCACAGAAAACGACAAACTAATGGAAAAAAGCCTAGTCAGGGACCAACATGCGCTGGCCCGGAGGGTACAACGTCACAACGAAACGAGGAACAGAGTGCCGGACGACCACAAGGGAAATAGGCCTGACCCGGCAAGCGAGCCGCGGGCAGAATCACAGACCCAGTACGGACGCCAAAAGGGCCATGCGCACGCTGACACCATACTCCATCTGACGGAAGTAGGCTGCACGCGGGTCCGTATCCACATCCGGGCTGATCTCGTTGACGCGGGGCAGGGGGTGCATCACAATCATACGCTTCTTGGCGTTGATCAACGTCTCTGGTGTCACCACCAGCTCATTCTTGACCCGCTCATACTCGGCCTCGTCCTCAAAGCGCTCCTTCTGCACGCGCGTCACGTACAGGACGTCAATGTCGGCAACAATCTCCTCAATTGAAGCGTGCGTGTGTTGAGTAATGCCAGAGGCCTTGACAAACTCAACCACGTCGTCCGGCATGGCAAGGCTGGGCGGGCTGATGTAGTGGAGCGTCACGTTGTAGCGGCTCAAGAGACGGGCCAGAGAATGGACGGTACGACCATTCTTGAGATCGCCCACCATGGCGATGTGGAGGCCATTGACAGTACCCAGCTCCTCACGGATGGTGAAGACATCGAGCAGGGCTTGCGTGGGGTGCTCGCCCACACCATCGCCGGCATTGATCAGGGGTCGACGCAAGAGTTCTGCGAAGCCCATGAGAGAAGAGTGAGGCGCACATCCGAAGCCGACACACGGGCAGGGTCAGAGCAGGTAGCGCACAATGAGTCGAGTCTACGTACCAGATGCCTCGCGCATGGCGCCCTTGGCTGGATGACGCAGCACGATGACATCCGTGTAGCACTCCATGGTGCGCACAGTGTCACTCAGCGACTCGCCCTTTGACACCGACGTTGACTTCATCTACAAAAAGGAACGAAACTCAAGGTCAAAAGTGCGCTCCTCGCGAATAGCCGTCAACAGGAAACGAAAGCCCTTCTCCCACACCCCCTTCCCATCCAATCACACGTTCTTTTGCGATAGGTCATGCTAACATCGCTCAGAGTGATGACGGTACCACCCAGACGCTGCATGGCCGAGGCAAAGGAGCACATGGTGCGCGTTGAAGGCTCATAGAAGATGTTGGCCATAACTTTGCCGTCCAACAACTTGCTGGCGCCCTTGGTGGAGTGAAACTCGTGAGCGCGGTTGAAGAGGGCGTGCAGCTCGCGCTTGCCAAACTGCTCAACACTCAAAATGTTACGGCCCTTGAGAATGCTGGGTGGTGCCAGGGCATCGATGCGGGCAACCTACGAAAACAGAGCCACAACCACAACAACGATCGAAAAGCACATCAGGCACGCGAATACACCAACTGAGAGCCTCAAAGAGCACAGCAAGGAAGCGCTCATACCCCACGACTAGGGTGTCGCAGCCAGACGTTCAAACAGCTACTCACCGGCAGGGCTGGCTCGGGTACAGCGACAACAGCAGCCCGCTCGAGCGAGCTCGAGCTCTTGCCACGAGACAGAGGGGCGGCTGCCTTGTGCAAGCGGGTGGGCGAGGAGGTCGCGGCGCGCGCAGGGGGCTGCGCCAACACCAGCGGCTCGACGGCAGAGGTGGGTGGGGTAGCAAATTGCTCGGTGACTTGGCGCGAGCGAGGAGGGACGATCTGGCGGACCTCCATGACCTCGCCCTGGGGTTTGTCAGTGACAAGTCGGCCATCGATGCTCACAACATGATCACGCAGAATGCAGCGTGAGACGCGGCCGTGGCTCTTGGTGCCAGTGAAGGGGTTGGACACGCCCTCGGGCGCATTCCACAGGTCATCCGCGACCACCTCGACCTGGCAGCTCACTTGTTCCAGGATGGCAAAGGCCGCGTTGACGTTGTCACCGAGCTTCTTGGCCAGCTGCTCAATGGTGAGGCGGCCGTCGTGCACGGCACCAAGCAATAGGGGCAGCGTTGAGCCCATGGTATCCAGGCGCAGGCCATTGGTTACAACGCCGTGGCCAGCCGTGAAAAAGTCCACCTCATCCAAGAGCGACCAGAGACCCTCGCGATCAGAGTCTTGCTGCGTCCAGGGGATGGTCTGGTTGGTTGTCGGGAACAGGTTCAAGACAGACGCTGAGCAGAGGACATCCACACCCTGGTTGCGAACCATGGCAATGAGCTCGAGGTCGGCCGGCGTGGACACTTCCACAACGATCACGCGCACGTGGAACTGCGACGCCAGCAGAAGGGTCGAGGAAAGGGCATGGCCTGAGGCGCGGAGCACCAGGGGGCGGCCGGCCTGCAGCATGGCGACGGTAGCCGCCACGGCCGCCGGGGTCAGCTGCGAGTCTGCGCCTTCCAAGTCCAGGTAGTACCCCAGGGGCAAGTTACCCAGTGCCTCAATGATGGTGCGGTCGCCAGCGGGCATGAGAAAGCCGACATCACAAGCTGCCACGGCCGAGGCACGCGTCACAAAGTCGAGATATTCGGCCCCGTTTGTAAGGGTATGCTTGGGCGGAAGGGCAAGGCAAATACCCGTAAAGCCCGAGGCGGCGGCAGAAGCCGTGAGCGTCTTGACCTCCGCGATTGTTGCCTCCTTGGCCCGCACAAAGGCATCGGTAACGTTGTGCAAGAGCTCAAAGGTCAGGGAGCTTTGGCAGTCAACGAGCGAGCAGCTTGGGTTCAAGTTTTCAGAGCCGAGGGCGGCGATGAACAGCTTGGCGCACTTGATGTTGGTGATGAGGGGCACCTTCGACTCGACAGCCATGCGACGAGCCAAGGAACCAGAGGTCATGTACGAGGCTGGACGACGGTACTTGTTGCGCATGGGCAAGTTGATGACCATATCGTAGTGGCCATCAAGCAGGTTGTCCTTGATCGACTCAATGTCCTCCGTGTCAGCCAACCAGTCGACGGGCTTGATCTCGACACCGTGGCTCAAGTAAAAGTCAGCCGTGCCCATGGAGCCAAACAGCTTGAACCCGAGCTGTTGCAGGCGGCGTGTCGAATCCAAAAACTCAAGCTTGCCGTCGTAACCACCGATGGAAAGAAGAACGTTGCCCTGAGGGCGAGGCAGACGGAAGCTGGTCGAGATCATGGCCTTCAGGTACGCTTCCTCACGAGTCTTGCCAAAGCAAGCCACCTCGCCGGTGGAAATCATGTCCACACCCAGTGTGGGATCGGCGCCTGCCAGGCGGTTGAAGGAAAACTGAGGCACCTTGACGCCGACGCGATCGGGCTTGACTTGAGGTGGAACTTCCGGGTCGAGGCCAAGCATCACGCGAGTGGCGATGGCAATCATGTCCACGTTGGCCGTCTTGGACACAAAGGGGAATGAGCGTGAAGCGCGCACGTTGGTCTCGATGACCTTCAAGTTGTCGTCCTGACGTAGGCAAGGCACGAGGAAACACAAAATGAGCCCTCGCGCCAAAACAGGGATGAAGCCACTAAATTAACAGATTGAATTAACGAAGCAAGTGGATGCTGCCTTGTACGCACCTTGGCGATGAATTGAATGTTGAACGGTCCAGTGATGTGCAAAGCCTTGGCAATCTTGCCAGCAATGGCCAGACAACCGTTCATGGTCTTTTGCGTCAGGTCAACGGGCGGGTGCACGATGGTGGCATCTCCCGAATGCACGCCTAGATCACCAGATCAGAGAAAGAAGCGAGGGTGAGAGGCGAGCCTATCAAGTGGACGTGCTTTCAACCACTAGAGATTTCTTGACTCGCATATTTAAAAAAAAAAACGCACCAGCATTCTCAACGTGCTCTGAAATGCACGAGGCCACCAGTTCACCATTCGAAGCAACGGCATCGACTTCGATTTCCTTCGCGTCAAGAATAAACTTGGACAGGACGACGGGGTAGTCACGCGAGACGACCACGGCAGTGCGGAAGTCGTTCTCCAAATCGTGTGCGCTATGCGCGACACGCATGGCGGTGCCAGACAGAATGTAAGACGGCCGCATCAGACAGGGATAGCTGACCTGCACAAATTTAAACCCGGGGCGGATTCATGAGCCATCGATCGTTAGCAAGCCAACAGGAAAATATCCATCGCGATGAAGAGGGAGGCCTAAAAGCTTGTGGGGCGGTGCTCGCGAACAGCGGCATGACGTACCTTCTCTGCAAATGCCTTGGCCGACTCGACTGAGGTGAGTTCCTTCCACTCGGGTTGATCGACGCCGATCGAATCACACATACGGCTGAACTTGTATCGGTTCTCGGCATTATCAATCATGTCGGGGGTGGTGCCCAGGACCTTGGCATTGGCGCGCTGCAGCGCATTGGCAATGTTGTTGGGGATCTGACCACCCATGGAAAGGACGATGCCCCGGGCTGTTTCCAGCTCATAAATGTCCATGACCGTCTCAAAGGTCAACTGGTCAAAGTAAAGACGATCGCACTCGTCGTAGTCGGTGGACACGGTCTCCGGGTTGTAATTGACCATGATCGTCTTGAAGCCTAGGCGACGGAGTTCACGCACGCAGCCGACGGCGCAGTAGTCAAACTCGACGCTGCTGCCAATGCGGTACACGCCCGAGCCCAGAACCATGACGTAGTCGCCTTCGAATTCCACGTCGTTTGCCGTGCCGTTGTACGTGAGGTAGAGATAGTTGGTGTAAGCCGGGTACTCGGCCGACACGGTATCGATCTGCTTGACGACAGGCAAAATGTTCAGGGTCTGGCGTCGCGTGCGCACGCCGACTTCGTTGCCATTGACGATGGCGCCAATGTGGGCATCAGAGAAGCCCAGTTGCTTGGCCTCGCGCAGGATAGGGGCCGGTACGGAATGCATGTCGTACTGCTTCAGCAAGTCGCCATGCATGACGATGCGCTGCAGGCGGTACAAGAACCACTTGTCAATCTTGGTCAGGTCATAGAGCCTAAGAAAAAGCATGGCAGACAGCACGAGGTGGTTGGGGTGAGAAAGATGGGATGAGCCCAGGCGAGGTCAAGAGGCGGAAGGTGGGAGAATCGCAACATACTGATCAACAGTGTAGCCGCGTTTGAGGGCCGTGGCCAGCATAAACGGGCGTTGCTCGCTGCCATGGACCAGCTCCTCCTGATTAATTTCCACCTTGCCGGCCTCAAAGCCCATGAATCCAAGATCCACCATCCGCAAAGCTAAAAAGGAAAACAACAACAGCGATCCCACGAATGAATTTTTGGTCAGGAAAGATCTCAACTTAAAAGCTAATAGTGGCAGCAAGGTAGGCTTACCTTTTTGGAAGGCCTCCTCAAAAATGCGGCCGATGGCCATGACCTCGCCGACGCTCTTCATGGAAGTGCCCAGGCGCTTGTCAACGGTAGGGAACTTGCTGAGATCCCAACGCGGAATCTGTGAAAAAAAAAAGAAGAAGAAGAATTACCGATAAGAGGCCGCGGGTCGCAAGTGACTCTGACGCTTGGCATCGACAGCCGCAACCAAAAGCAGCAAAAAAAATTTTTGAGCTCACCTTGACAACGCAATAGTCGAGCGAGGGCTCAAAGCAAGCGGTGGTCTTGCGGGTCACCGAGTTACGCAGCTTGGGCAAGGTGTGGCCGAGCGCGAGCTTGGCCGCCACGTACGCCAGGGGATAGCCGGTGGCCTTGGAGGCAAGGGCACTGGACCGCGAGAGGCGCGCGTTGACCTCGACAATGTAGTACTCACGCGAGAATGGGTTGAGCGCGTACTGAATGTTACATTCGCCCACAATGCCGATGTGTCGGACCACTTTAACCGCGGTAGTGCGGAGCATGTTGTACTCGTCGTTTGAAAGCGTTTGCGAGGGCGCAATGACGATGCTCTCACCCGTGTGGATACCGAGAGGGTCAAAGTTCTCCATGTTACAGACCGTGATCGTGTTGTCCTCACAGTCGCGAACAACTTCGTACTCAATTTCCTTCCAGCCGTGCAAAGAGCGCTCAAGCATGACTTGCGTGGTGTTGTTCAAGGCAACACGGGCTTTCTCGCGGAGATCATCGACGTTGTCGACGACACCCGAGCCAAGGCCACCAAGTGCAAAGGAGGAGCGCATCATCACGGGGTAACCAATCTTCTCGGCTGCAGCCACCACCTCATCGACTGTGGTGCAGGCAATATTGGGACAGCACTTCTCGTCAATCTGGGACAGCTTCTGGCTGAAGATCTCGCGGTCTTCCGTGTCCACAATGGCCTGGACCGGCGTGCCCAGAACGCGCACGCTGTACTTTTCAAAAATGCCCTTCTCGTAGAGCTCAACACCGCAGTTGAGCGCTGTTTGTCCACCTGTGTAGCGGGGTCAGCAGAGACAGTGCACCACGTCAGACAGATGTTCAACGCCCATCCCTGGTGTGGGCCGGCCTGGGCTATGATAAAATCCTCCCTCCAACCTTATTGAAGCATGGCTGTATCACGTACCAAAAGCCAGGAGAAGACCGTCGGGGCGCTCGTAGGCGATGACTTGCTCGACGTATTCCGGGGTGACGGGCAAGAAGTACACCTTGTCTGCGAGACCCTTCATGGTCTGCACGGTGGCGATATTGGGGTTGATCAAAACGGTCTGCACACCCTCTTCCTTGAGAGCCTTGATGGCTTGAGAGCCAGAGTAGTCGAATTCGCCGGCTTGGCCGATGGTAAGGCCGCCCGAGCCGAGAACCACCACCTTGGTGGGCAAAGTGGCGGGTGGTGGCGAGGGTTTGCCGTCTGTACAGTGCCGCGAGTTGCGCGCAAACGTGAGTGAGTCTGGCGGGCGGAAGAGAGACCGTTGGCCTTGTGATAAGCGGATAACTCACAAGACTTTTCAATGAGAAAGTCGGCAATGGTCTGAGGCAGAGGTTGGGCACGGGCCGCCTTGTCGCGGCACTGCATAAGGAAGACATCAAAGAGCAGCTCCAAGTCCTCGGGCCCGGCTGTGGCTTCGGGGTGGAACTGCACGCTAAAAAACGGCAGCGACTCGTGCGCAATGCCCTCGTTGGTTGAGTCGTTCTCGTTGGTGAAGATTGGCACCCAACCCGCAGGTAGGGCTGATGCGTCGGTGGCAAATCCTAAGGGGAGCGCGATTGGTAAGGAATGCAAAAATGTCAGGGTGTCGCCAGACTGTTTTTGGTGAAATTTATGTTTGGACGACGGTGTCGCACACCGCGCGACAGGGCACTAGAATGTTTGAGATCGGGTCAAGTGTGAGCAAGCGAGAAAGATGAGCGCGAACCGTGATTTTGAGAGGTGATGTAGCAGCGGCCAGACTGGTTGTTGCTGCAAGGCTGGTTGTGACCGCGGTTGCCAAAGGTCAGCTTGTAGGTCTTGGCGCCGATGGCGATGGAGAGCAGCTGGTGGCCAAGGCAAATGCCAAAAACGGGCTTGATGGCATCGCCTTCGTTCTGCAGCACCTTTTGAAGTGACTTGATGGTGGAGTCGCACATCTGCACATGACAACAAGGAATCGAGGATGTGTAAGACGGCAGGAAAAAGGGACCAGCATGGGGCAGAAGAAGAAGCGTG